CTACCTCCCTGGAACTTAGAATCGAAGTGTCTGATAAAGCAGGGGCCGTTAAAGGTAACGCTTGCATCAGACAGGCACGTGTTCTAGAGAGTAACAAAAACAGCTAAAGAGCACAGGGCGTCTCTGCTGGAGCGGCAGGAAGACCCCACGGCATGTGAGCCACAGCAGGAAGGCGCGGGGCAGACCCACGGCACGTGAGCCACAGCAGGAAGGCGCGGGGCAGACCCACGGCACGTGAGCCACAGCAGGAAGGCACAGGGCAGAGGGAAGACAGTGCTGTGTGTCCACGGATGGGGCAGACCCGCCGCATGCCAGCCCATGTCCAAGAAGAAACCGAGACCACAAGAGCCTCAGAGCAGCTGAGGATGGGGCTGCCTCATGTCAGCAGCTCCTCTGGTTTGCAGGGTGCAGGGAGAAGACCGGCAGGAGGCTGCTGTGGGCATCTGGCCACATGGCAAGAGTCAGGGTCAGGAAAAAGACTGGACCCCACAAACTGTGGACTGTCTGGGTGGGGTGTGAGGAATAGGAGGAAAAAGGAAGCCCCACTCGGCCAGGTTGGCAAGGTCACCGCCACCAGCGGGGCCAGACCATGAGTCTGGAGGTCAGGGGCAGGGTGGATGGCAAGGTACAGGAATCTGGGAGGATCAAGGACCGAAAGGGAGGGTGTGGTCACTGCTGCCAAATGCTGCTGAGAGGCTGAGTGAGGAGGCCTGAGAAGTAGCCCAGGTGCTCACACATGAAATGCACCACCTCAGCATTGGGGGGGGCGGGGGAGCGGTCTCCCTGCCATAGGCCTAGTGCCCTAATACAGCCTCATCTTCCTGGGGTAGCTGGGGCTCTCATCCATGACATTCAGGGGCAGAGCCAATAGGCACATGCAGCACAGTGTGCCCCCTGGCTCCATGGTGTTGACCAAAGCCCACCAAGGAGCAACTGTGAATACCTATAACCTCATGCAAATACACGGCCTCCAGGACCACTGTCCAGAGGCAGGGAGGGCCAGCCCTGGGGGTGTGCCACGTCAGCAACCTGGAACAAAACCCAGGCCTCCAACACCCCGCAGCTGCAGCCTCCCCAGGCCACGAGTGGCTCCTAGGCTCCTGGGGGTCCTCCAGGTGGGGCTAGATGTGAGCCCACACAACACTATCACTAACAGCCGACAGGTGCCCACCTGATGATCACACAGTCCAGGAAGTCGGTCAGCCGGCCGTTGCGGGTGATGTAGGAGAAGTCAGGGAAGCGCCTCTGACAAGCCAAGAGAAAGGGTCAGAATGTAGTTAGTTGCCCTGGGTCAGCCGGTGCTCCAGAGAGCGGCTCCCAGGAGTGGGGAATGAGGGCAGAGGCTGAGCCTGGCCAGCCACACCAGGACCAGTGACTGCTCACAGCCTCCGAGTACACAGGGAAGGGTCAAACTGCCAGCACCAGTCACCAAGCCAGAAACCCTGCCTGGGGAGTGCCGAGCTGCCCCCTACGACTCTGCAGGAGCCCGAGAGCCCTGCTCTGGTACACACCAAGCCTTCCACAGAGGGCACCCCATCTGTCAAGTGAGGCAGGGGGACTGCCGGGGAATGCAGTGACCCCAGACCCACCTGCCTCCTCCCACTGCCCACTTGCCCAGACTCCCTATGCCATGGGTCAGAGCCTGAGGCTTGGAAGCCTGGGATCCTGCTAAGAACAGCAACAAGGAGCAGGCTGAATGAGCTCCCTCCAGGCTACCTTCCCTCAGGACTCACGTCATCATTGAAGCCCATGTGCATTCCGCAGTCCAGCATGACGTTCTTGCCCGCGATGGAGACCAGGATGCAGCTTCGACCCACATCTTGGCCAGCCCCTGAAAAGGAAGATGGCATGAGGTGCTGCCACCCCCACATCCTTCTCCCTGCTGGTGCAAGCGATGGCCCCAGCCCCAAGACCAAGGCCCAGCCACTTGCCTCACAGCTCCACTGGGAACGCTGGGTCCCCGACGCTGCAGAACCCTCAGTGGGCTGGGAAAAGTAGACCCCCATAGCTGTTGTGCAGATGATGTGTGAGGCACTGCCACCATCACCTCTACACACAGGCCAGGGAAGGGGCAAAGTACCAAGACTGCCAAGCGAGTTCTAGGCCCCATGCCCTCCCCTGCTACACCTCCAGCCTCAGGCCCTGCCACTACCACCTAGGTCAGATGGAAAAAGACCCTCACCTCTTGAGGGAGCAGCCCACCTGCTGCGGCTGACGGGAGCCTTCAAAGGCCAGGGGCCGTGTAACAGGTGCTGGACTGTGGTCCTGGCACTTAATAGGGGTAAGCCAGCACTCCACAGGGCATCACCACCCCTCCTGAAAACTCAACTGGGGTCATATCTGGGCTATGGGGCCCTCTCCCCCAGGACCTACTCTCAGGAGGCATCAAGCACCTCCAGGTGGTTTCACTGCAGATGGACACCTGTGAGGCTTTAGCCCGGCCATGGCGAGACATAGCCCCAGCGTCCAGCAATGACCAAATACAGTAGCCACAGTGCATATGGCCCACCACCACACCCCCTCAGGGCACCCACAGCCCAGAACTTAACCTGAGTCCTATCCACGTTCCTGACTTCAAGCCCTACCCATCTGCTTCAGCCTCAGCGGGGCATATCCCAGCCACCTTCTCTAGCCATTTGTCACCTCCTCTAGGGTCTGGAGGCCCAAGAAGAAAGGGACACAGCCTTGCAGGGCCTGATGACAGCAAATGACCTGCTTTCCATCTTGATCCTACAAGTCTCCCTCTGCCAGCCACCTGAACCTTCTGTTAGCACCACACACATCAAGGTGGCCCAGAACAGGACCCAGGCTGGTCCTTGAGAAGTTTCAGTCATCCGTGACAACAGTCAGTGATCCCAGCCAAGAGCTTCGTCTGCGTGCTTCAGGCAGCCCAGCCATAGGCCCAGAGGTCTCTCATAAGCCTGCTCCCGCCCCACCAGGACAATGGCAGGTCTCAGCTGTCTGCTCCCTCCTGCATCTTTAGCCCTAAAGCTGAGCCCAGCGCAGAGGCCTCCAGACATTTATGGCAGGGGAAGGGGAGGGCTGCCCCTCTTTACAGAGGACGTGAAGGCACAGAAGTCATGGGATCAGCCCATGGACACATGGCTCCTAAGCATGGGGCCAGGGATGGCTTTCTGGACTCCAGAGCTCAGCTCTTAGGCAATGGCCCCTGCTCCCACCAGGACTCACAACCATCCCAGGGAGCAAGGAGAGTGGCCCACCCTGGGCAGCAGATATGGGAAACAGAGTCTAGAGCACACAAAAGGAGGCAGAACTCGGGAGAAAACAAAGGTGACTTCATATCCACAAGAGTCTGTTTCAGGGCAAGGAGACAATGACCATGTAGGTAAGACATACACTGAGTCCATCAGGTAGAGTTTAGGCCCTGGAGAAGATTAAGGCAAGGAGGGGACACAGAAACTTCCAGACCCACACCCGGCAAGTCCTCCTTAAAATGACTTCTGAGCAGGGTGGAAAGAGACAGCCAGGAGGTGGGAGGGGCAGCTGTGCAAAGGCTGTGTGGCAGGAGGGACGCAGGACTCTCTGTACCTGGCCCACAGGACCAGGGAACCCATAAGGCAGAAGCTGACAAAGGAAGACAATAGAGAAGGAGTTCTGCTTTGATGGCGCTATGGCCTCGGGAGCACGGCCAGGTGCAGACTGGGGTAACAGAAGCGGCAGATAGAACTGTTCAGAGAGAGTGAGTGGTGAGAAAGTGGGCCAAATCATGAAGGGGCAGGCTGCAAAGTGTGATCCGAGGAGGCCCCTGGAAGGGCGCCAAAGGCAGGGGAGTGTGGGGTCTCAGCACCCAGAGGGGACCCTGCGCCAAAAGCTAGGAGAGGCTGCTGCAAGGGTGATCCGTATGGCACTGTGGAGATGCGTACCCTGACCTGGTAGGCCAGGAGCAGGGGTGTCCAACAGCTCAGGGTGCACACTGGGGGCTGGGGGGGCTATGTGACAAAGAGCTCACACCACGAGAAAGGATATGGAGTTGTGTGGAGCATCTGTACAGGAAAATGCTCCCCACACATGGCCCGGTGTAGGAGGCAGGTTCTGGGAAAGCCCAGAGCACGGATGCAGGAAGAATGCCCAGAGAGCTCTAAGGGCTGGCCACCAGAATGCAAAATGATAACGGACCCTGGATTCTCAGTGACCTTTCCTCCTTCAGAGTTCTGCACTCTCTGGGCCTTTAAAAGTGTGCATTTATATCTTTTACAAAATGCAAAGTTTCTTAAAAAAAAACAAAAGAAACAAAAAAACGTTGCAGAGGTCCAGTAAGACAAGGCTGAACTGAGAGCGGAGGGCTGGACTGGGCAGACGCGAAGCTGCAGGTAACGGGTGCGACACAGATGCAGGAGGGGGAAGGAAGCAGAGGCGGGGAACGAAGGCCACCTGAGGCACCAGGCCATGCGGACAGACGCCGGCGCGGCGAGGAGAGACCCTGTGGCTCTCGGGGACGGCGTCCGGAGGGCGGACCCCAGGCGCAGCTGCCCGCCTTCGGACCCACCCCCTTCTCACGGTGAGGAGAGCTGGGACGCAGCAGCACGGCAGCGGGCCGACCCCCGAGCCCTCCCTCGGGAGGGGGAGCCCGGCGCGAGGCCTCCGCTGACGACAGCCGGGGGCTCCGCGGACCGGGCCAGCCCTCTGCGTCCCCGCGGCTCGTCCCCAGACCACCGCCCGGCCCCGCGCCCGCGAGGCCGGCCAAGCGCGCCTCACTCACCCAGAGGAGTGACCCTGATCTCGGGCATGCTGCCGCGCGCGCTCCCAGGCCCCGCAGCCTCTGCCCTCACAGAGCCCGCACAAGCACCGCGGCCGGACCCCGACCCGCCGCGCCGTACCGCGCAGGCGCAGCCCCAACGGCGCCAGCTTCCGGTGCGCCCGCCGGAAACGCCGGCCAACGCGTCGAGCCTCCGGATTGGGCAGCCGGCAACCAATCCCGGGCGTCAGGGAGGTGGCCGGGGGCGGGGCAGCGAGTCCCCCGGCAGCGGCGGCGGCGGCACAGGTGAGCGAGCGGTGGCGGTACAGGTGAGCGGAAGGGCGGCAGGCTCGGGCCCGGGGCCAGGGAGCAGAGCCCAACCGAACTGGGCAGGTGGGCCTGGGCATCGCCAAGGGCCAGGCGCGGGAGGGGCGGCCGAGGGCCTGGGTCCCACGCCTCCCCGGACCCGGGGCCCCTGCTCAGTCCCTGGGCCTCAGCTGGAGCAGGGCCCGCCCAGGACTGGGGCCCCACCCTACCCGAGCTCGGGGTCCGAGCCCGGCGCCACCTGGAGCTCCCTTCCCGAGCAAGACTTGCAGGGCTTCCTGGACAGGGCTTCACTCCTACCCGCTGGGCCTGGGGTGCTAGTATGGGTGCCCTCCTCTGGGAGCCTTCAGCCTGCTGTCAACCAGAGACCTGCGGGTCTCAGGCAGCCCTCCTGCCGAGACTTGACCTTGGGGCTGTAGGCTGACCCTGGGGGAGCCTTGGTGGTGCCCTGCATCACCTCCCCAGAGCTGGCAGGCTGCCTGCCCCGGGCTGCACAGCCAGTGGCCTTCCTGTTGTTTGCAAGTTCTGAAAAGCTCCCAGCAGCTCCTCTGCGCTGCTGGCTCAGGTTCTAGACAGGAAAGCCAGGCCCACAGGATGTCTGGTGTCCAGGAAGGTAGCCCTGAAGGCCTCAGAGGCCATCTGCTCAGTGGACGGAAGACAGGCCCTGAGAGAGGGGAGGGGCGTGCCGGAAGTCGCTGGAGCACTGTCTTCCTGAGGCTGGGCACGACTGTCCCCCACACCTGAAGACAGGGTGAGCTCACCTCTGGGAGCTTGGCCCAATGCCAGGGGCCTCCAGGGCCTCAGCAGCCACTAGGCCCCATCAGGTGCTCCTGGCATCCTGGGTGGTGAGATGCTGCTGAGTCTCCAGGGACCATCAGAGCCCAACCCCAGTGCCTGCCCTGGGCATCCAGGAGGGCAGAGGCTGGGTTGCCCTGGGGCACCTATTCAGTGTGTGGGCCCTTGAATGTTTATGGAGTGACTGTATGAATGTGAGCAGAATCCTGGGCAAGACTCTGGCCTAGAGCACTTCCGGAAGGTTCCTTGGGGCTGGGGGAGGGCCTTATGGCTGTCTTCAGAGTGTAGAAGACCTCTGGCCCAGCTGCACTTCCGTGTGGCACCTGTATGGCTCCAGTGAAAAGATTGGGGTCTGTCAGGCGTGCTGACCCTGCAGTCTCTGCTCAGGGCCCAGCCCAGCTGGCCACACTTCCTGGCCCTCGACCTCGCTCTACTGTCTCTTTTTTCATAGTACTTATCTTTTCTTACCTACCGTGTTGGACTTTTCTGGCTTTCTCCAAGAATATCGCCCTGATAGGAAGTACTGTTTGCCTCACAGGCCATCACCCTGGGAGGGTGCTCGGCTCTGGGCAGAGACTCAGCAGATATTTCTCCAGCTGGTAAAAACACACACACCCTGGTGAGAGAGACAACAGTGAACAAGCAAGAAAACATGAGTGGAGATGTCTGCCATAGATCAGAGCAGAGTGGTTTGACCGGCTGAGTGACGGGGGGGTGGTGCTAAGATCTGTGGACGTGTGTTCCAGGCCCAGGGCACGGCAGCACCAGGTCATTATGTCCGAGCATGTGGCCCAGGCAGAGTGAAGTAGGCTCCCGGGGAGAAGGGGCTGACCGGGGGACGGGGCCCACTGTGGGCTTTCAGTTGCTGACTGCTCTCCCCGCCACCCTGAAATAGTGACCCAGGAAGGGAGCTGACTCACAGGGAGACAGCCCGCCAGCCTGACTTCCTTTGTGTTTCAGTACGAACTAAGAAATGGATGGCTTAGAATCGGACTTCAACCTGAAAGTCGTCTTAGTCAGTTTTAAGCAGTGTCTCAATGAGAAGGAAGAGGTGCTGCTGGATCACTACCTCGCCGGCTGGAGGGGGCTGGTCAGGTACTTTTGGGGGGCACTGCCTTGTGGGGCCCACACTTCCCATGTGCTGTGCACACCCAGCTCCCACCTGCTTGGGGCTGGTCAGCCGTTCTCATGCACCACTTGGCCGGCAGCACCGAGCCTTCTTACCCCTGCCTGCAGGGGGACGTGTGCCCCAGGAGGTTGGGGGCGGTCTCCCCTGCACCTGGGCTGAACTCCTACTTCCCCTCGAGCAGGTTCCTGAACAGCCTGGGAGCCATCTTCTCCTTCATCTCTAAGGATGTCACCGCGAAGCTGCAGATCATGGATCGTCTGCGCAGCGGCCCCCAGCGGGAGCCCTACAGCAGTCTGCAGTCCATGGTGGCCTACGAGGTGAGCAACCAGCTGGTGGACCTGGAGCGGCGCTCCCGCCACCCTGACTCGGGCTGCCGGACGGTGCTTCGGCTGCACCGTGCCCTGCGCTGGCTGCAGCTCTTCCTGGAAGGCCTGCGCACCAGCCCCGAGGATGCCCGCACGGCCGTCCTCTGCACGGACTCCTACAATGCCTCTCTGGCGGCCTACCACCCCTGGATCATCCGCCGGGCTGTCACCGTGGCCTTCTGTACGTTGCCCACACGCAAGGTCTTCCTGGAGGCCATGAACGTGGGGTCCCCGGAGCAGGCTGTGGAGATGCTGGGCGAGGCCCTGCCCTTCATCGAGCATGTCTACAATGTCTCCCAGAAACTCTACGCTGAGCATTCCCTGCTGGATCTGCCCTAAGGGCCAGCAGGCCAGGTGGGGCAGGTTTCCCCTGCAGAGCTGGGCTGGGGCAGCCGGCACCCATCAGTCCCACCATGGAGATCTTTGAGTGCCCCAGGAATGGGAAGAACACTCTCCCCTGCCGGCCAAGCCTGATCAGACCAAGCCTGATCAGAGCCACGGGCACAGCATGGCCCTCTCGGGCTGTGCTTCTGGCCTATGGCATGTAGGCCCTGGCAATCTACTCCGCCCTTATCACCTTGCTCTGCCCAGGGGCATCTTTGCTTTACCCTCAGCTGAGTTACATATGTGTCCAATCAGGCCTCACCCAGACGGTGAGGTGTAGAAGGCAGGGCGGGGAAGGGGCAGGAATCAGCATTCATGGAAAAGCCAGAGAAGCTGCCCGCTGCCTGTGAGCCAAGTCGTGAAATGGGGCCAAGTCACAGGTCCCTGCGGCACAGAGACTTCATCCTGCTTGCCAGCAAGCACCTTCAGCAGGTGCTTGTCCACCCCCGGCCCACCTCTGTGTCCGTACCCAGGTACCCTCGGGCCCCTGCACACAGGGCTAGTCGTCCCCAGGACAGGGATAGAACCCTTGGGCAGCCCTTGGCAGTGTAGGCTCCCTCCCGGTCCCTCGCGTCCTTACTAGCCAGGGCCCCACATGTCCTTGGCAGCAACAGCCAGGAACTAAAGCCCTGAGCAGAGGCCTGCCCTGCCTCTCTGCTCTCTCATCAGCTGCCCCCCACGGCCACACTGTCAGTCGGGTCCCCCCCCCAGGCAGCTGCCTGCGAATCTGCACAGCACCGCCCAGAGCTCTACAGAGCCCAGAGCTCAGGAGACCCAGGATGAGATAGCACACGGAGAGAGCCTGGACCGGATGCCCAGCACGTGGGGGCCTGGCCTGGCCTGGCCTACTGGCTCTTCACTGTGAGCTCAGGCCCCTCGATGCCAAGGGGACCGTATCCACCATGCAGCAGATGTACATACGTGTCAGCTTGCAGAGACCCTGGGAAAGTGTAATTGTTTTTCCAACATCAATAAAGGCCACTTACAGAGCAGGCAGTGCACTCCAGGGTGGAGGTATTTTGTGTCAGGCGGCTGCTTACTAAAGGGAGGAGGGGCGTGACCCCATGGGGCTGAGGCCCTACTGCGAGGCTCACAGGGCAGTGTCAACCACGGGGACGGGTGGCCTATCCTGGCCAGCATGGGGCAGGGGGATGCTGCCTGTCTGTGCTTGTGTAGCCTCTAGCTTGGTCCCTCGAACCCCCACCAAGGTCCATGTCATTATCCCCATTTTATAGGTGAGAAAACAATTACCCAAGGGGCTGGGTTGGAAGGGCAGGTCTGAGGCCCACAAAGCCTGTGCAGGGGAGGGGCTCTGAGCCACAGCAGGGGTTGGGACAGAAGGAGGGTCCATGTCAGGCAGCATGCTCTCGGACACTCCAGTGTCAGTCCCAAATAGCAGTGTCCAATGCCAGGTCCCCTCTGCCACCTCCAGGCCTGCTGCTTCGCCCTGTCCCACAGGGACGGCAACCAGCCCGCCTGCTCCCCATCCTGTGGCTGGAGATGACCATGAGGGCTGCACACGTGTGCACCCAAGTGCATACAGATGTACGGGGCCACGCACGGCATAGGCGTCATATGTGTGTGTGTTGCGTGTGTGTGCTGCACACGTACGTGCATGCCCTGAGCGTGCCATGCAGCTTGGTCCCTCCCCACAGGCAGCAAAGATCAGATCCCAGACCATCTCCTATAAACATCTGCCAGGGTTGAGACCACCCAGAGCTCCTACTCCTCTCCAGGGGCATCGGTAGCCTCCCCCAGTTCCTCTGGGTGCCTACTGGGCACCCCCACACCTGAACCTCGTGTCAGGTCCCCAGGGCAACCCAGAGGCTAAGTAGGAACTGCTGCTGGCACATCTTTTGGGGCTCACCTGCACACACCTGGTGCTGACCCAGCTTCAGAGGCCCATTTGGTTATAGCCTTTCCTCCCTCGTTTGCATGCACGGTCCTGCAGGCCCGGCTGTGCCCTCTGTCCCCAGAGGGAGGCACCTGCTCTGTCAAGAGCCCAGGCAGGGTGTGGGCAGAACCAGCCTCAGGGTCCCTGAAGTTTCTAGGCAACAGCCCAGCCCTGTTCTCATACAAGCTGAGAGGCCACAGCCCCCACCCTGGGGCCCTCCCCACCCCAGCCACAGGATGGAGAGCTGGCAGGCTGTCTGGCCACTGTCCTCCTGGCTGGTCTGCCCCCTGAGCCTGCAGGTGGAGCCACCCCTGCAGCCCACCCCTCACCCCTAACCCCTGGCTACTAACAGTCCTCCCCAGGGCTGGAAGAGGTGTTTCTGTACCTACTTATCGGGGCACTGGCACCTCCCCCAGGCAGCTAGAGACCCCAGGATCCTCTGGCGGAGAAGTCCTGAGTGTCCCTCCTCCTTTCCAGGAATGCGGTGGGTGCAAAGGGGCTTGGGCACAGGCAGGTAACAAGATCATGGTCAGTGGTTGCTCAGAGCCTGCCTGCCCAGGTCACTGTCAGCCAGAGAGCCTGTGGGTGGGTGACATCAGGATAAAAGAGTCCAAAGAGGGGCGCCTGGGTGGCTCAGATGGTTGAGCGTCTGCCTTCGGCTCAGGTCACGATCCCGGAGTCCTGGGATCGAGTCCCACATCGGGCTCCCTGCTCCTTGGGAGCCTGCTTCTCCCTCTGCCTTTCTCTCTCTCTCTGTCTCTCATGAATAAATAAATAAAACCTTTAAAAAAATAAAATAAAATAAAATAAGAGTCCAAAGAGCACAAACCTATGGGGCCCAGGAAAGCAAGGGTGTCCCCAGGGGCCCCTGGGCTTGGCAGATGAGGACAGGTGAGGATTTTGCTAAGCAAATCCTCTGCCCTCCCCTGTCCCAAGTCATCATATCAGGGCCCCCACCCGATTCTCTCATTTGCCATCCCTGCTGGAAGCCGCCACTTGCCATGCCAGGCCTGACTCTCCTGGGCCTCATGGCTCTCTCGGGCCTCGGAGCAGGCACCCCACTGTGCTTATCCTGGCAGCTCAGGATGCAAGGGGACTATGTGCTGGGTGGGCTCTTCCCCCTGGGCGCGGCCGACGATGCAGGTCTCAGCGACAGGACTTAACCCAATGCCAGCATGTGCACCAGGTAAGAATGCGGGGGGTGGGGGGCAAGGCGTGATGAGGGTGGGGGTGGCTCAGGTCTGGGGTGCTCCTGAGCGGGGATGAGGTGTCGGCCACCTGCAGCCCTGTGTGGCCCCAGGTTCTCGTCCCTTGGCCTGCCCTGGGCGCTGGCCATGAAGATGGCTGTGGAGGAGATCAACAACGGGTCTGCCCTGCTGCCAGGGCTGCACCTGGGCTACGACCTCTTCGATGCGTGTTCAGAGCCTGCGGTGGCCATGAAGCCCAGCCGCATGTTCATGGCCAAAGCGGGCAGCTGCGACATTGCCGCCTACTGCAGTTACACGCAGTACCAGCCCCACGTGCTGGCTGGCATTGGACCCCGTTCATCCGAGCTCACCCCCGTCACCAGCAAGTTCTTCAGCTTCTTCCTCGTGCCGCAGGTGCGCCCCCCCACCCCCACTGGCCCTGCCTGCAGGAGCCCCCACGTCAGGAGCTGCCTCCCGGTCACTGCAGGTCAGCTACGGTGCCAGCACTGACCAGCTGAGCAACCGGGAGATCTTCCCGTCCTTCTTCCGCACGGTGTCCAGCGACCGCGTGCAGGTGGTGGCGATGGCGGAGCTGCTTCAGGAGCTCGGCTGGAACTGGGTGGCCGTGGTGGGCAGTGATGACGAGTATGGCCGGCAGGGCCTGAGCCTCTTCTCCAGCCTGGCCAACGCCAGGGGCATCTGCATTGCACACAAGGACCTGGTGCCACTGCCGCACGTGGGCAGCCTGCCGCTGGGCACCGCCCAGGACCTGCTGCACCAGGTGAACCAGAGCAGTGTGCGGGTGGTGGTGCTGTTCTCCTCCGCCCATGCCGCCCGCACCCTCTTCAGCTACAGCATCCACTACAAGCTCTCGCCCAAGGTGTGGGTGGCCAGTGAGGCCTGGCTGACCTCAGACCTGGTCATGACAGTGCCCAGTATGGCTGAGGTGGGCACCGTGCTCAGCTTCCTACAGCAGGGCGCCCCGATGCCCAAGTTCCCATCTTACATGCGGACCCGCCTGGCCCTGGCTGCTGATCCCGCCTTCTGTGCCTCCCTGGACACTGAATAGCTGGGTCTGGAGGAGCACGTGGTGGGGCCATGCTGCCCCCAGTGTGACCACATCATGCTGGAGAACATATCTGCGGGGCTGCTGCACCACCAGACCTTCGCTGCCTACGCGGCTGTGTATGCCGTGGCCCAGGCCCTCCACAACACGCTGCTCTGCAATGCCTCAGGCTGCCCCCCGCGGGAGCCTGTGCGGCCCTGGCAGGTAAGGGCAGGGAGCCCCCGGCACTCCCGAGAAGGAGCTTCAGTGGGGAGTGTGCACTGGAGGCAGCTACTGGCCCAACGCCCCCCACCGGCTCCAACCCATCCACCAGCTCCTGGAGAACATGTACAACACAAGCTTCCGCACTCGCGGAGTGGAGCTACAGTTCGATACCAGCGGGAACGTGAACATGGACTATGACCTGAAACTGTGGGTGTGGCAGGACCCGACGCCTGAGCTGCGCACTGTAGGAGCCTTCGATGGCCGCCTGGAGCTCTGGCAGTCCCAGCTGTCCTGGCACATGCCCGGGGACCAGCTGAGCCCCAGCTGCACTCCCCCCGGCCACGAACAAGTTCTGGCTCTGCCGGGGCAGGGGCGGCGGGGGGACCATCCCCAGGTCTGGGCGGTGCACCCGGCTGAGCACAACCTGAGCCCCAAGGCCCCGTGCCAGGGGCCCGTGTCCCAGTGCTCCTGGCAGTGCAGGGAGGGCCAGGTGCGCCGAGTGAAGGGCTTCCACTCCTGCTGTTATGACTGTGTGGACTGCAAGGCTGGCAGCTACCAGCGCAGCCCAGGTGAGCCCCTCTCCCAGGCTGCACGAGCTGAGGACGGGGGCAGCGGGGGGGGGCAGGCAGGGACCCACAGGGCCTCGTGTCTCGGCTCCAAGGCCAACCCTGAGGCCAGAGCAAGTGGGTGGGAGTGAGGCCAAGGAGCCCGTGCCCCCCCCCAGTGCCCCCTCTTTGCTCCCACACCACAGTGGACCTCCTCTGCACCCAGTGTGACCAGGACCAGTGGTCCCCGGACCGGAGCACACACTGCTTTCCCCGCAGGCCCACGTTCCTGATGTGGGGGGAGCCAGCCATGCTGGTACCGCTTACACTGCTGGGCTTGGCGCTGGGCCTGGTGCTGGCGGCCCTGGGGCTCTTCATCTGGTACTGGGACAGCCTGCTGGTTCAGGCCTCAGGCGGGCCACGGGCCTGCTTTGGCCTGGCCTGCCTGGGCCTTGTCTGCCTCAGCATGCTCCTCTTCCCCGGCCAGCTGCCTGTCCCAGCAGCCCCTGCTCCACCTTCCCCTCGCTGGCTGCCTGAGCACACTCTTCCTGCAGGCGGCCCAGATATTTGTGGGTTCGGAGCGGCCACCCAGCTGGGCAGAGCAGCTGCGTGGCTGCCTGCAGGGACCCTGGGCCTGGCTGGTGTTGCTGCTTGCTCTGCAGGCGGAAGCAGCACTGTGTGCCTGGTACCTGGTGGTCTTCCCACCAGAAGTGGTGACGGACTGGTGGGTGCTGCTCACAGAGGCGCTGGTGCACTGCTGCGTGCGCTCCTGGATCAGCTTTGGCCTGGTGCATGCCACCAATGCCACGCTGACCTTCCTCTGCTTCCTGGGCACCTTCTTGGTGCAGAGCCGGCCAGGCCACTACAACGGCGCCCGCAGCCTCACTTTTGCCATACTGGCCTACTTCATCACCTGGATCTTTGTGCCCCTCTTTGCCAATGTGCACATGGCCCACCAGCCCACTGTGCAGATGGGCGCCATCCTCCTCTGTGCACTGGGCATCCTGGCCACCTTCCACCTGCCCAAGTGCTACCTGCTGCTGTGGCGGCCGGAGCTCAACACCCCTGAGTTCCTGGGAGACAATGCTGGAGGACAGGGCAGCAGTGGTACTGGGGGGAAGGAGACTCAGGGCAAAAACAAGTGACCCCTGACCCAGTGACCTCACCCCAGTGAACCCAGATTTAGTTGAGATGCCCCCAAACCAAGTTCCTATGAAGCAACCCCCAGACTACCCCAGCTGCTGAGACCACCCCCAGCTCTAGATCCTGACTGCAGGCTGACTGCTGACCTTGACACCACAGTGATCCTTGGGCCTGCAGCATTCATGAAGGGCCTCAGCACCCATCTGGGGCCCGAGAGCAGCTCTGTATGTGTCCTAGCCAAGCCTTGGCCAGGGCCAACCCAGGTGATCCAGCCCCACTGTTCCAGAAAGAGGCCCATAAAAAGGTTCCTTGGGGCTCCTGTAGCTCATGCCAAGAGCTCAGGAAAGCCCCAGTCAGATCACTTGAAGTCCAAGCTGGGTATTACTTGCCTGGCCAGGCCCAGCCTGGAGCCTCCAGCCAGCACCCCATCCAAGCATCACAGGGAAGGGAGGTTGGTGGGTGATGGGAGCTGTTCTGACCCCTCTGCAGGGACGTGTGACTGATCATGGGCCCCAGAGTGGGACGGGAATGATGAACAGGGAAGAGGCCTACTTGGGTGGGGGGGATGGGGTGCACACCCAACCTCCTCCTCTCTCTGTGGCCCGGCCCAAGCGGGTAAAATGGGATCAGATGGCCACCAGCACCGTGGACAGAGCCCGGGGGGTCAGCACCAAGGCCAGCATCCACAGCCAAGACCCCTGGAGCCAGGAGCTAGCACCACGGACAGAGGACCAGCTGCCAAGGACCCTGCCGGCAGCCAGCACAGGGGACAGAGCCCGGCGCCGAGCAGGGACCCAGAGACAGCCGCACCCCAGCCTTCCAAGGTACCCGGCAGAAGAAAACAGACACAGGCCACACATCAGTCCCATAAAATTAAATGCTTTTTAGTCTTTAAAATAGCATTTACACAGAAGCAGCTCTATTAACTATCTGGATGGACACTCCGACTTGATACAGTATCTACAGCGCAGATGTGTGCAGGCCAGAAACGCCAGGAAGGAAGCGGCGTGAGTGGGTGGGCAGTCACCCAAGGACAGCAAGGAGGGGTGGGCTGGCTACCCCCTCTTCCCCACACCCTGCCCCTGCAGCAGCTGTGTGCATCCGGGCCCTCTGCCCCTCAGGGTCACAACCCCACCACCACCAGCTGAAACACGTCCCCCTCCCATCTCCCCCTCACCAACCCCTCCCACTTTCTGACAGGACCTGCGTCCCTGCATTCAATCTGAGACCCAGTGGGGGGGGGGGGCACCTGACCTGGCCACCACCTCCCCCAGAGCACACAGGCCAGGCAATAAATAAATAAATTAGATCCCTACCCCGGGCGTCCACAGAGGGGCCTGGGGGCTCTGATTCCACCTTCAGGAAGGGCCAACCCAGACCAGGCAAGAGTGGTGGGGCCTATGACTTGGGCAAACAGGGGACCCAGGCCCAGCAGCCTCTTCTCAGCTTAGTCTGGGGCCCTCTGCACAGCTCTGTAGGCAAGTGGGGGTCCCTGAGGCACACCCCAAGGGCACGGGCTCTGCACGGACACAAGCTGCTCCAAAGAGGAATGGACGGACTGCCGAATTCAGATCACGGTGGTCTGGGCTGCCCTCAGCCCCTCGCCCAGCCTGCTCCCCCTCTCCGTCCAGGCCTGGGCCCCGACATGAACCCTTGTGTGCAGGCAAGCACAGGCTCGCTTGACCCAGGACAGCCACCAATAAGGCAAGCCCACACAAGCCCAAAGGCGGTGCCCTCCTGCAGGAGCGGGCAGGACCACTGGCTCCCCCACCATGGGGCCGAGCTGAAGGCACTCTCTCCTCAGTCACATGATGTCAACAAAAAACTCACAGGGGTTCCCCATGGCCTTCTGGAAGGACTGGCGACTGCCCGTCAGCTCTGGGGGGACAGCGGCCAGCTCCCGGACGGGCGGCCCCCCCGGCGGCCCCCCCCCCACCGAGTACGCCTTTGCTAAGGGATACGATGGGGGGAGGCCCGGGGCGGCCGCCGAGCCCCGGCTGAGCTGACTAGCTGGACGCTCCCGACAGCCGCTGCCCCCGACCCCGCCCGGTGCCGTGTGGTCTGACTCGCTGCCGCTGCCCCCGGCTCCAGCCACCCGGCGCTCCTTCTCACGGCCCAGTGCCCGCCGGCTGCTCCCGCCGGCACTCTGGGTGGACCCACTGCTTTTGCTTCCTGGAGTCAAGGACAGGGAGAGGGATGAGATGGTCAGTGTCGGGCCACGTCACTTCCAGGATGACCAGCCGTTGCCAGGGCAACCAGGGACAGAACCTGGTAGTCTCAAGCAGGGCGGGTGTGGGGGGGGCAGCCATGCAGACAGGAGAGCAGGGCTGGCCCCACTCATAGAAGCAAGAACAGCTGCAGCAGGCCGGGGGGCAGGGGAGGGCAGTGGCGGGCAGGAAGGGACACTCTGGGGCCAGCTCAGTGCCCCCCATCTCACCCCAATGCCTGATCTTGCAGCTGAGAACCTGAGGCACGAGCGAGGCCCTGTGTGCCCGGTGCTCCCGTCGGCCATCCTGGGCACCCCACCCCCACCCCCAAGACCCACCTTCCGTCCAGCCCCAAGGCCCTGGCCAGCTACTCAGTCCAGCCCCGTCCTGGGCTCCCAGGAAGAGCGGGGAGCCTGAGGCCAGCTGGCTGGGAACATGCCGAGAGGGACGCCGAGCAGGACCCTGGCTTACCGGCCCGGAGGGTCCACTCCGCTAGTCCTTCAGTCTAAGGCTTGCTCAGCACAAAGCAAGGGATAGCATGAGTTACACAGCAGGCCCGGCCCGGACACCCATTCCCGCCTACGGTGCATGCGGCTACCAGACGGGCCTGTCCAGGGTCCACAGGCGCCCAGCAACAGCTTCCCCTGGGGCACCACTGCCCTCTGACCTGCTCTCCTCTCTCTCCCATCCCTGTCTGGATCTACGGGACTAGCTCCCTGACCTCTGTCCCTTGGCCTCAGTGACACTGACAGCCTTAGGCCACTCCTCCAACAAGTGCCCTCCGCAGGGACGCCCCTCGAGCTTCCTGCTCAGCTCTCCACACATCCCAGGGTGAGTCCACAGTTGTCTGTGGGACTGTCCACCTCCAGCTCCCGGCCAGGCTGCAGGTGCTGGGGGCAATGTCTGTCTTCCACTGTGGCCGGGGACCTCTCTGCCATCCTTCCCCATGCCATCTCCTGGCTTTTTGCTTCTGCTGCACCTGGAACACCAGCACCCCCCCAATACACACACACACACACACACACACACACACACACACCCCAAAGTCTGCAGGGCTCTCCCCATCCCCCTGAACCACTCACCCCTTCCAGAAGGAGCTCACCCAGGGCCTCAGCACAGAGCAGGGAGGAGCGCATGGGGCAGAGGGGGTGGGCACACACAGGGCAGAGCCAGGCGGCAGGGACAGCAGGGAGCTGGGCGCCCAGCAGGCTCTCACCTTCACTCTGCTGACTCCCAGCACTGCCGCTGCCATAGCTGAAACCAGGGTCCTGGTATGCGGGTGGGAAGCAGGGCGGGGGGCCCGGGTACTGGTAGGGGTAGCCCTGACCCAGGGGCCAGGGGGCGGCCGGATGGGGCAGTGGGGCCAGCGTGTCCTGATCCGAGGCCCCACTGGAGCCACTGTTGAGGTTCAGGGCTGCGAGATCTGGCGGGAGGGGAGGGTGGGTGAGGGCAGTGAGGGCAGGCCCTCTGGGATCCCCACCCGCCAGCCCCCCACTCACTGCTGCACAGGTCCCCAAAGACGTAGTAGCACTGCTCCGAGAAGGTGATCTTGTTGACCGTGTGCCGCAGGAAGCCGCGCTTCAGCATGCTGCTGGCGTACTTGCGAGCCTCGCGCCTTTCCTTGAAGCCCTCCACGTGTGTGTACAGCCAGTCCACCACGTCCGCCCCTGGCCCGGAGCACACATCAGGGCACAGAGCCCGGGGGGCAGACCCGCCCCGCCCGGAGCCAGCCCGGCGGGGCCCTCACCAATGACGGCATTGGCGATGGTGATCTTGAGCCACATGCGGTCACGGATCTCCAGGCCCGAGTCTGGCAGCTGCATGACGCGCACCACGGCGCCCATGTCGCTCTTCACCGTCAGAGGTGCCTCCTCCAGCTCTGTAAGGCACAGCCCCCCCCTCAGCCCTGAGCAGCCAAAGGCAGGGGGAGGCCTTGGGATGGGCTGCAGGCCCCGCTGCGGCAGCCTATCTCAGAGCCCGGGCTCCAGGTCGGGTCTGTGGTCCTGGAGCCCAGACCGTGAGGCCATCCGGTGACTGCAGGGTCCAATCCCACCACAAGATGGACCCTCACAGGGGTGGGGAGCAGGGGTGGGTTGGGGAGGGGGGTTGAATCTTTGTCCCCTATCCCTGCAGATGCTTCATCAAGATCTTGGGCCCAAACCCAGGTGAGGCCACCCCCACCCTGCAGACCAGAGCCCCACGGGGAGAGGCCTCTTCCCCCCTCCCCGTCCGCTAGCTCAGGGCTGTTAGTTGTGTTAGCTGCAGGAAAGCCGGGTGGGAGTCACACGCGTGCACTGCCTCTCCTCCCCAGGAGAGAAGGGCCCCAGGGCTGGCCTGGCCCGTCTGGGCAACTTTCAGTCCCACCACACAGACAGCCAGCTGGAAGGAGGGTGTGCGTGAGGGCAGACACGTGTGCGTGTGCGCCCTGGCCACACGGCAGGACAGCCCTCGAGTGCGACCGTGTGGGACGGGCACTTCGGCCAGGCCCCTCGCCCTGGTGCCTCAGTTCCCTGCTCTCCTGAGCTGCCACTTACGTGGGGCGCCGGGCACGGAGCTGGTTAGTGAGGAGGAGCTGGTGCGCGTGATGCCGCTGGAGCAGGGGCTCGTACCGTAGTGGGGCAGGGCTCCAGTCAGCGCCGCCGTGTGGGACAGCCAGGCGGCAGGGTCGATGGGCCGCACCGGGTCAGCTGGGTGGCCGCCGGGTGGTAACAGACGGACGGACAGACGGATGGACGGTAGCGCACGATGGAGCACGGGGGCACAGAGGAAAGGACCTTCAGGCTGGGCGAGCGCCCTCAACCCACCCCCAGTAGCCCTGCAGGGT